CCATTGAACGAGCAACGTTGTAGGGTTCAAATCACATAACAATAGGGACATCCGATTCAGACGCGGACTAACCAAAATCTGATACTCTAAGGCAATATGCATAGAAAGACAGAACTTTCTTCACAACTGACCCTAGAATCATCCCATTTTGATGATGGCGTAATGACCGAAGGCCAAATCGTGGCGCGGCATCCGCGCTTTGCTTTCTTAGGAAACTGTGGAACTATGAACAGACAGAGGAAAGAAGTAGAATAAAAAGGGTTGGCCTTATTCGATGGAAAATTAATAGATAGACGTTTCCTTTGAATTTTCTGTTAGATTAGAGAGCTTCAGTCATTCACTTGTCACTCTGTCACGAGCTAGTGCAAGCTGTTAATTGGGGTCAGGGCACAGGCAGACTTTGAGAGCGTACCCTCATCATACTCTACAGTATCCTCGCACCGTCCCTACCATACACCATCCCAGCCAAGATACAAGCATCCCAAGGGAAGCAGTAGGAAAATTAAGATCAGGACGTCCCGCTCCCCATTAGCGAAGAACACAGGAACAACAGCTTTGCAGATGAAAAATTCTAGAAATGCTTATGGAATGCTAATACGAAAAACTTTAGAGAACAGGAAGAGGTATTCCTGGGTGGAGTGAGGACTGTAGCGGGAAAAATGCAAGCGTTACCAGTAAACATGGAAGCAAACGAGACCGAGCAGGTGTGAGCAGAGCCGGCTGTTTATATAGCCATGGCGCGCCCCGATAGATCCTTCCAGAAGGTTCCTCTCTCTGCGCCTCTCGCGTGGTTCCGCCCTGCCGACACAACAACAACAGCAGAAGGGGTGGGGCAGGAAGGTTCGCGAAGGGTTCCGAAGAATATCGTCGCACCCTATATAAGTGGCTATGCGGGTGGTGACTCCAGTCATCTGAGTCGGACTTTTCCAAGCTTCAACGATGTCTATCTGCATTCTTCACAACGGTTCTCTGCCAAGTGTGCTGAACGAGGTCTTCAACGAACTCGACGATGCTCTCGGCCAAGTCCTCCTGGTGAGACCACCTGCTTCTTCTCCTCCAAAGGGGAACAATGAAAAGAAAGCCGTTATGGGTCAAATGGGCAAGGTAGGTCATGGTTTCATGGGAATTCGGCCTCATTTACCGTATTCATCACACTTAAAGAGAACGTTTGCAGGTTACCGATGACGGGTCGAAGTTAACAGTCGCCTTGAATGTTTCAAAATTCAAACCGGACGAGTTGAAAGTGAACATCGATGGCAGAATCCTTACCGTAGAGGGTAAACAAGAAGTCAAAGATGGCTCAAATTACACCTCCAGGTAAGTTTTATATACGATCATTGAACGTGGACAAACACTTAGGCAATCAGCCCAAGTTTCTCATTTATAGGTCATTTATTCGTCACAATGGAACTTCCAGCAGGTATGTCGATCGTTGGCAGATTAGAATCCAGACCTCACCGACGAGGTCGAGCTGGGCATTCGAGCTACCGAAGCCGCAAACCGCTATCACTCTAGGAGTATCTCCTATCACACAAGGTAGACGCATGCGCATGCCAGTTGCCTTGTCCATTGCGATCTCTGTACTCTACGAACATTCTGTTGTTGTCATATTTATTATTTTTAGTTCGTGGTTTTTTGTTTTTATTGCCGTAATGCTGTAATTGCTGTAAATATAATAAAGTATTAACACAATACACCTGCAATTGTACCCGCTTCAGCAAAGCTGCACTTGTTAGAGAAGCAGTGGAGATAAAAGCAGTGCACTGCCAATTAGTAACAAAAGGGAAATGACAATGACGTTGAGGCTGAGCCTAATACGGCTTTACAATGTGCGGAATGTGGAGACTCGTGACTATACGAAAATCAGTCCCTATCCGTCCTACGGCCCAGTTCGGCGACGGGGAGGGGCATTTTGCACGTTTACTGCATCACTGGTTCTAGTTTACAAGTCTCACTCGGGTGAAACGTGTGAACTGATATGAGTTGAAGCGAGTGAAACCTGTAAACACTTGTAAACTCACGAAATGGCTCGCTAGATGGATCGACGGGAGGTGGCAAAAGTGCCTCCCCCCTCCCCCATCGGTGAACTCACTAGTGACTAGTAACAGTTCGGAATTCGAGAATTATTATTGTACACTTACACAAGATCCCAACTAATGAAGCTCAGGGAAACATCGATGCTCATTCACAATGCTACTGTCAACTTCACAGTAGCGAACTTCCCCACATTCGGGAAAGAAAGCCCCAACTGAGTAGCTGTTCTTGAGTTTTTTTGCGATCGCGAACATCTGGATTTTCTGTCGCAACACAAGGGAGGAGCATTAGAGGGGCATTAATCTGTTGCGAGATCCACTCCCCAGCCGAATCCGATCGGCCCACTTATCGGCCTGTGTCGGCCGCACCCTTTCCTGCCATGTCGTCGGCGCCACTTTTCCCGTTATCTGCAGAGTACTAGCCCCGTCCGCCCCTTTCGCACCGCAAATCCTGCTTCAAGCCCCAGTTTTTTTTGAAGAAGGCAAGAAGAACTGGGCAGGATTTCTTGAATCTTTTCGTAATTACAGAGTATGGAATTATATAGGTTGGAAGGAAAGTCTTGTCACTGTTGTGACTTTTTTATTCCCTTTTTTTATTTTTGACTTGATTAAAGGAGTTATGTCAACGATATGTTTAGTCACTACAGCGCTACACCCAATGACATATAGCATTCCCGCTCCACACTCGATGAAATGCTGCGAATAGAGTAAGTAGCTCCCCTCTCGCTATGTCACAAAATATTGGGCTGGAAATTTTTCTTAGACTAAGAAGCCTTAAGGAGGTGGAGCAGGTAGCAGTCGTAGGGGACTACGTCAGGAGAATGTTATGAGCGGGGACTGGTCTTCCAGCCTTGCTCCTCGGTTATTTGGTAGGTCTTCATAGCAGGTATGGGGTCTCGTGTACTACGAACGAGGTGACCCGAAGCCAGTCTCGGTCATTTTTCTCCAAGCAATTTTCACTCGTTTCGGGAGCTAAGCGCACACAAGATTGGTCTTGGCGGTGACCGTCGGTTCTTTAACGGAGCAGCGGTTCTGTGCGTACCTGCACCTCCTCGCGTCCCAGGAGCAGCACAGGAGAACCTTTTCGGAATACATGCCCGGTTTGGACTGCTAGAATGGATCTTCTCCTTGAAAGAGACAAACGGTACTGTGTGCCGTGTTGATCTTGAGCCATCCGTCTCATCCCCACCAAGTAGTCTCCCGGAAACTCCCTTTCTGCGCACGGGAGAGAAAGGGAGACTTGATTTCAAGGGTGAACCGGTTGCACAGCGCGTGCATCGGTCAAGGTATGAATGATCCACCAAGCCAGTACTTCTTGGTAGTCAAAGGCTTACAGGCGGTCGACGACTGTCAGTTAGGTACATCCGAGTCTTGTCGCAAGACTGCGCGGTAGTAGCCTCTGGATCCCTCTTGTCTGGATTTTCTGCAGAGTGGTAGGAGCCTTACACTTCTTCGGGGTCGTCACAACCAAGATTTGCTTCGCAGGCATCGAGGTTTCTTTTCCGCCAAGACGACGGCGAACTAAAGTGAACGATCCTGACGATGTGGTCTCCTTTCTCAATGCACTGTTACAAACAGCTGCCGTGGCTCCAGTGCCGCGGGGCCACTGTAGAGAAGATGATGACTCGAAGATACTCCTGTGAAAATGACATCGTAATTAAACCCAGGGAAGAGCAGGCGCCCTCACACGCCTCTTGCAGGAAAGCTCCCAGAGTGTCCTACAAGCATAGCATGTTACGTCATGTACGAGCATCGAGAATCAAAATCTGTAGTTTTAAAACAACACGGACAGGACTTTTCCAAACATTATATTTCTTATCTTATTACACCAGTTACGCAGCCTTTATACGGTAAAAAAATAAACAGTGTTCAGATATAAAAAGGAGAAAAAAGATGGCAACAGAATGTCCGCATAGTATAGAGATCGCCATGGACAAGGCAGTACTGGCAAATTAATCAAGCCGTCTCAAGAGTTGTTGGTTGCCTTTGAGATAGGGATATTCCTAGAGTTGATGGTCGGTTTGGGCTTTGGTAAACTACGATGGGCAGGCACTTGACGTCGCTCGCTGAGGATGGCATGCTATACCTGCTCAACGTCGACAATTGCTGGGCAGAACCATTGGCGCGTAGGAATGACCTATTAAATAAGAAACATCAGGGCTCGATCTCGAAATGAGGAGATTCTGTCAGGAATCTGAGGACAATCGTTTACCTTTGGATGGTATAACTCGAGCCTTTCTTGACTTTTGTTTACCCTCTACGGTGAGGATTCGGCCATCGATGTTCACTTTCAGTTCATCTGGCTTGAATTTTGAAACATTCAAGGCGACTGTCATTTTTGACCGTCATCGCGTACCTGCAAAAGCGTTCTTCTGCATGAAAGTGATGATACGTAAAAGAGCAGAAAAACCCCATAAACAATACGTACCTTGCCCCATGTTTTGACCCATCACGGCTTTCTTTCAGTATCTCCCCTGTGGAGGGAGAAGAAGCAAGTTGCTCGCACCAGAAAAACTTGCGAGAGCCCCGTCGCTCGAGTTCGTGTTGCAACACCTTCTTCAGGCGACACTGGCAAAGAACCGTTGTGAAGAATGCAGATAGACATCGTTGAAGCTCAGGAAAGTCCGACTCAAATGACTGGAGTCACTATTCACGGAGCCACTTATATAGGGTTCGGAGAGATTACTTCGGAACTTTTCGCGAACCTTCCTGCCCCACCCCCTCGCGCTATCTCGTCGGCGGGGCGGGGCCGCGAGAGAGTGGCGCAGAGAGCGAAACGTTCTGGAATTCTCTAGCAGGGCGCGCCGGGGCTATATAAGCAGCCGGCATTGCTTACATCTGCTCAGGCTGTTTACTTCCGTGTTTACTAGTACGTTTGCCTTGTAAATCATATAGTCGTCACTCATCATCATATTGTCTATTTGCTCTAAACTCTTTCCATCTACTGCGCGCCTCTTTGTAGTATTTTATGAATATTTCTCGGTATTTGCATGAGATGGTGTACGGTAGGGAAACTGTAGGGTACTGTAGGGTGATGGTGCCATATTCTCAGCGTTTCCCTATAGCCTGATCTGACTTTTGCGTGGGCTAGCTCCCAATCTCTTGAGAGGTTCACCGCAGATACCAAGTGCAGTATTCAATGAATGACTGAAATTCACTACCAGAGAATTCAAAGCGAAAGTCTAGTCATTAACATTCCAAGAATCAAATCCACAACGGCAGCCACAGGCTGGTGTGCCTTGCATCAATCCATGAAAAAAAAGCTCAATCCTTTGTCCTCTCTTCTGTTCATTACTCTGGGAATTTCTACCTTGAGCAAAGAGCAGCGGAGACATGCCGCGCCACAGCACAGCCCCCTCTCAACTCTACGCTTTAGGGGCAAACAATGCCGAAATTTCTGTGCAAAACTACGGGCTCGACAAATCTTCAAGTTCTTCTCTATCTTGCCTTTGGGTAACAGATTTTGATTGATCCTGTTTGAATGTCTGGGTTCCTTTTGTTATATGCCGTAATTTGACCCCTATCGCCTTGACCGTTTAGCAGTCGTTCGCCTAAACAGTTGAAGTGGAGCCAATTATTCAATTTAACTATTTCAGTGAACCTTCAATCAATCAATCAATCGAACAATGATGGATTTGTGGCCGGTGAGTCGTCTGATGAACCGCATGATGTACGATACCATGAGGGATATGGATCGTTTTGAAAGAAGCATTTTCCCATATTGGAGAGAAGCTGATCATTCTGTGCTTCATGTGGCAAACGAAACCCAACAGGTATGTAATCCACTTAGGAAAAGGTGTTTATGGGTCCTTTTTCTGGATATCCAGTGGTAACCCTTAGACGCTAAATGTGCAAAATGAAACCCTTGGCCGTTTACAAATGCAAAATCGATAGTAATTGCAGCTTGTGAATGACGATAAGAAGTTCGCCGTTTCATTGGATGTTTCGCAGTTTCGTCCAGAACAGTTGAATGTGCACTTGGAGGGGCGTGAGCTGACCATCGAAGGCAAGCAGGAGCACAAATCGGAGAACAGCGCCATCATAGGTGAGTCCTACCGTCTACTTCATTGGGCAGATGTGCATTAGATAGATATTGATCGCTTCGGTTATTTCAGGTCATTCACCCGCAAATGGTTGCTGCCTGAGAATGTCGACCTGGAGGCAATTCGTACTCAGCTCGACGACAAGGGTCATTTATCCGTGGAAGCGCCAAAGAGTATCGAGGGTCAGGCGCAGAAAAAATCCATCCCCATCATGGCCGCTCCTAAGAAGTAAATCTACCGTTCGCAGGAATTAATCAATTTTCACGGTTACTGCTGTTGGTGGCAGCAATAACACCCCTGGTACTGTAAATAATAATAATAATAATACTAGTAATATTTCTAGGCATTATATTGTTGCTTTCTCTAATATTCTATTGTTCAGTTTGTTCGCTTTAGTTTTGTACATTCCTTGCAAGTATGTGTATACAGCAGCTGCTGAGCAGTTGTGCACAGCGCAGTTCTGGAGTAGTCTGAGTACAGTAGCGTTTATTTTGTATTTGTTATTTTGTATGTAATAAATAAATTGTGTTAGTTGGCAGTAATTGGCGGTATCAGTGTGACATCGTCCGATTATTTCCTGTTCCAGTAAGACGCCCTCTCACAAGCTTCATACGTCCCGCCCCGCCTATGAGAGTCAGCGCAGGTTAGCAAGAAAGGGTGCGGCGACCAGGCCGATGAGAAGGGCTGATCAGATTCTATTGAGGGGTGGGCCTCTCAACTGATCATCGCCCCTCTAAGGCCTTTCGCTCGTGTTACGACAGAAAGTCCAGTTTCTGGCGGTAGCGCTAGAAGAATCGAAAACAAGAACAGCTCACTCAGCTAGGGGTTTTTTCCCTCAAAGCGAAAACCTTGTTGACCTGACTCCAAGAATAGAACTTGTAGTTAAAGCGCCACGCTTCTATGACCCTTTTGGCAAATTTCTAACTCGGATGACCTTGCGACAAATCCGTACATTTGCAGCGCAAGTAGGGAAGTCAACCGCCATACAAGGACCCTTCCTCCAGTGAGCCAACCTTTCCCTAGGACAAAGGGAACTGAAGATCCTTTGACCTGCAGTATTATACGCTATCTTCTGCCAGTATCTCATCAGGAGACACCAGCCTTTTTCACATACCTGCAACATGTTCAACTAGCTCTCCACTAGGATGCTTTGCTCAGTGAATCTTCTTCTTCTCCCTAGCGTTAGTCCCGCGCCGTCGCAGGGTCCGCTGTTCTTGTTAGACGTCGCCACTTGTTCCGATCCACTGCTTTTCACTTCAGTGAGGTCCTTCTTGATGACGTCCCTCCATCTTTTCTTTGGGGCTCCTCGTGGTCGCTTGCCCTCTACTTCGAATTCCAATGCCTTCCTTATTGGGTGGTCTTCAGGCCTTCTCAGCACGTGCCCATACCATCGCAGTCGCTGCTCTCGTGCCTTCAGCTGGATCGGAGCCGTCTGTGTGACCCCTGACGTCCTCGTTTCTGACTCTGTCGAGTCGTGTCCAGCAGGCCCATCTCAGCATCCTCATGAGTGGAGCTGCCTTTCATGGTTCTTGCAGATGGGCCAGCATTCTGCCGTAGAGCATTGTAGGCCTTACCACCGCCCGGTACACCTTGCCCTTGAGCGTTCTCGAGCACCGCCGGTCGCACAGGATGCCAGTGGACTCCCTCCATTTCATCCAGGCTGCGTTGATTCGGGCCGTCACCGCCTGGTCCACGCTGCCATCA